GGACTAGCCAATGAGTATAAAATAAACATAAACCGTTAAACCGTTAAACACTTGTTAGGGTCTCTGGCCAACAGGTGTGTGGAACCCACTACTAGACCTGGGGGATTAGTGGGAAACTTAAAAATATAACTTTTATATTGACGCCATTGACGGCAAAGAAATTTCGTGAATATATACAAAAGACTTTCATAAAATTAATTAAAATAATTCCTGTGAACGCAGCACACAAATTAACAAATTCCCACATATATCTAACTCAAGTATTTAGCTATTCAGTTCATATAAGTATAAGTTTATATATTAGATTTAAGTCCCTTCCTGTGGAACCTACTGAAGCTACGCAGTTTTTCAATACAACGAATCAGCTTTTTGATATTTTAAATTATTCATCCCAAACTTATTCTTCGAAAAAATATAATGCGGTTTTTAAAGGTAGATCCAGACCAAGAGCACTGCTCTGCGCCGCTCAAATCAGTTCAGAGCGGTGCAGCGCTTCGGGTTTGAACGACAACCTGCGCTGATTGGCGCCGATTTGCGCTGCTCTGCAACAAGAGCGAACGCGATCTGGCAGATGTCAGTAAATAAAAGGAAAAAGTATGTTTGTGCGCTTTTGTTTTGGACGCGAAAACGTCTACGCTTGTTATTTAAGTTTTTTTTTTTTTTTTTTTTTTTTTTTTTTTTTTTTTTTTTTTTTTTTTTTTTTTTTCGAATTTTATTTGAAGTGAAATAAAAAATGAGTGCTTCAATTAAATGGACTCATGAGGCTATTGAAAAATTGATAGACCTATAACGTCAAAAACCGGAATTGTGGGATCCCAAAGAAAACACATATCACATTAAAACTAAAAAGCATGATGCTTCGACCAACATTTCTTTGGAAATGGGAATCGATGTTGATGCTGTTAAATCTAAAATGACTTCTTTATTGTCTTCGTATAGAAGAGAAAAAGGAAAAATTAAAAAATTGACTGGCACTGGAAAAGGTAGGAATAATACCTGTATTTTATGTCCCATATACAGGGTGTTTCTAAATAACATGTACAAACGAAAGGGGGTGATTTCTTGACATACTTAATGGCTAAAGTGCTTGGTTTTCAAAATACAGGGTGTATAATTTTTTTCTGCTGTATGTAATTAACTACATTTTATTTTTTTTCTCGAAAACGAAGCATGATACGAAAAAATGTCAAGAAAAGCAAGTTGCAGTAGAAAAAACTTTTGACACCCTGTATCTTGAAAACCAAGCATTTGTGGACCCATGTTTATATGACACTTTAGCCATTAAATATGTCAAAAAATCACCCCCTTTCGTTTGTACATGTTATTTAGGAACACCCTGTATAATACTAATAATACGCTTTTAGGGGGGATGGGTGGCTCAGTGGTTAGAGCCTCTGCCTTGGTAGGATTCCCCACTCGACCATTCACTGTTGGGTTCTAATTAACAGTGCTGTTCCTAAAGTGGCGCTGGGAAACAGTAACAAAGCCTACACAGAACACGAGGCAAAATAACCTTGGCAGTTGAAGCCGATGACACAAAAAAAATAAGCTTTTAGGGCGGGAGGATATTTACATCTCAAACTGGTTTGCATTCATGTTTTTTAATTTTTTATCAGAAAAGGACACACCAAAGGATACTCTTAACACAGAAGAAGTAAGTAAAAATAAATAATATTTGAATATTATTATAAAATATTTATTTAAGCACGGTCATTTTGCCAAGGTATACGCCCGTTTGTAAAAAAAATATTCGGCAAATTCTTCTCGTATTTCTTGCGCATTTGATGGACTTTTCCTTGGTATTTGTTTTAACTTGCACATTGAGGTTTGGTTTACATCATCCCTCCGCCAGGTTACAGTAACAACTGTCCCATCATTTAGCTCACTATCAAAAGTTTCTGCAGGAGTATAGGTATTTCTGGAATTTTTACTTTTTCTTAAGTAATTATGTAGATAAATAGTCGTTAATACTACATCTCTAGCTTTGTTAGGTTCAAGGAGTATGGGTTTTCTCAAAACTCTAAATATTGCACTAAGTATTCCAAAAGCATTTTCTGAAACTCGTCGTGCTCTTGACAATCGATAATTGAAGATCCTTTCTTTCGATCCTTTTTCATAAAGACCAGAATAGGGTTTCATTACATTTTCATGGAGAGCAAATGCTTCGTCACCCAGTATGACGTAAGGAATACGTTTTTCTCGCCCAGGAAATTCTTTTGGTTTTGGCAAAGGCAGATTTTTCTCTTGTATTTTTTTCCATATTAGGCTGTGCTTAAATATTCCTCTATCCGATATTCGACCCTGAGTACCCACATCAGCGAAAATAAAATTAAAATTCGCATCCACAAGTACAAATAACACAATGCTAAAAAATGACCTATAATTGTAGTATTTGCTACCACTGTTTATGAGTGCGTAACATCACATGCTTTCCATCCATAGTGGCTACGCAATGCGGATAATTCCAATGTTCCTCAAATTCGTTAGCACATTGTAACCACCCTTCTGTAGAATGTGGCATCTATACGCCGAAGAAAATTCGCAAGATGATTTTCAAGCTTCCGTTGATGATACCAATGATGAAAGTGAACTACAAATTAAAAAACAAACTACTAAGCAATCTATTGAAAATGTCAGTTAAACCCCCTCTCAAACCAATGGGAAAAATACAATAGCCAAACGAAAGATATTTGTCTCCCAAAAAAAAAAAATCCAAAACGTAAAATAGCAACAGAAGACCGTAGATTAAGTAAAGCATATGACGTCATCGATAGCATTTCAAGCGAACCAGTGTCCAGTCGCGATGAATGCTCTGTGTATGGAGAGCATGTAGCTAATAAGCTACGAAATTTAAGTGAAAGAACTAGAGCCATCCTTAATCATAAAATGAATAACTTAATCGTTGAAGCTGAGATGGAAATGTTTAATGAATTACACAGGTATTCATATCAAAATATATATTCCTCAAGCGATGCTTCCTCAATTGTAAGTACGCCCCAAAGCAGTCCCATTCCTCCACAATCATCCACAACTCAGTCTGTATCAATATATAACATTGATCAACCTTCAACGTCTCAATATGATACAGCAGAAAGTTTTCTTTTAAATTTTAGTGTATAGAAAGAATTTTAAATAAAGGACTTACCTGAACTTGGTGTTTTAATGCTTCATTAAGAGCTTGGCAAACTTCAATAACTATAGTCGAAATACTTTATTTAGATATTTTAAAAAGGTACATTAAACTGGTGAATGAACCTCCTGTCGCCAGGAAGCGTAGAGGTACAGCTAATCTTTCTTTGGGAGAAATAGATTCCCTATAGTTTGTATCCTTCTTTCGTATTACTGGCTTAATTAAATTTAATAAGATTTCGAAATCCACAGACGACATACGGCAACAATTTTCAAATTGTCCGATATTACCAATGAACATGTCACTTAATAGATTTGTTCCGCTATAAACTGATCTATTTCTAAGCCTCGTTGTTACCCAATGTCGACGTTTTTTAATTCGTCTTTTTCTATTTAAATGTTGATTAATAATAATAATAATAGCAGCAGTAATTTTTACTTTTTTGGAATACCTTATTCTCCAAAACGCGCGCGAGCCAGTTGGAACAATGATGAATTCAAAATATTTCTTTGCGCTGTTCTGCGCCGTTCGGCATTGATTTTACTAGTGCCGCGCGGTTTTGTTCGGCACGGAGCAGCGCAGCGCGGCGCAGAGCAGCGCGCTTGTTCTGGATCCACCTTAAAGGTACACTCTTTCTATTTAATTAGAGTTTTTAAGAGAACTTTAAATTTGGGACAAAACTAATATTACCATTACGAAAAAAACAATAGAATTATTAAAATTTCAATAAACACTGTTATAGATTTATAAAATTTTCTTAGTGACACTGCAGGGTTTACTTACCAAAAGATTAAACCAAGATTGCCTTGAAAATTACTCCGTCTTCTTTCATTTCTTCTGCTTTGTCTAAATATTGTTTTATGAAAATATAATTTTATGGTGGAATCTCACACTATTTTGATTTTAAATTTTATTTTGTATCTTTTTGTTTGTAACTTTTTTATTCTGCTTTGTTTTTTATTGAATTCGTTAATATTCAATTTTACCTTATATTTTTTTTCAATAGTTAATACAATTTTATTATTGCCAACTTTAAGTATATATTTTTAAACTTATTTAATAATTATTACAATACCTTTTACGTAACTGTATTATTTAATTAATTTTTTAATAAATTTTAAGAAAATGTTCTTCAGAATTTGTAATATAAATTGGTTGTCCGTTAAATAAATAAATCTCTGCTGTTTTTCCTTCGGATGTAATTCAATGCCTGTTGTGGTATTAGCCAAAGGAGTAGTTGTTTTTCTGAAGGGGAAACGGTCGTTGTATTTTATGTGATATTCGGCTTTGAGCTAAATTCATTTTATTTCATTTTGCTACTATTACATTTGAGTTTTGATATTTTATATCGTTTACAAATTGCCCGCCTGGTCTTTTTGGTTCCACCTTGTTTTCAAACTGGGTACCTAGCACATTTTGATTTTGCTTACTAAGAACAGATGGCGACACCATTTTCACTACTTGAATTTTATTCTCTCCGTAACCAACTTTATGGTATACTGGTGAAATGTGTAGCATTTGTTAATTCCATTAGAGACTGGAATTGAGAACCTATCTATTTCTTGCTGAGGAGTCCTAATAAGGACGAAACCGGTCCAAGAATGATGTTCTCCTTGGTGAGCAAAATCAAAGTAGAGAGTGTTGAAAATTAATTTCTATCTCCGCTGTTTTTCCTTCGGATGTAATTCAATGCCTGTTGTGGTATTAGCCAAAGGCGTAGTTGTTTTTCTGAAGAGGAAACGGTCGTTGTATTTTATGTGATATTCGGCTTTGAGCTAAATTCATTTTATTTCATTTTGCTACTATTACATTTGAGTTTTGATATTTTATATCGTTTAAATAAATAAATAAATAAATAATATCTTCATACCTGTATTTTTTAATTCAATTAACATTTGCAAAAAATCCTTTCTGATGACATTATTTTCTTCTCTGTATTTTATTGTACTTTCTACTAAATCGAAGAAGAATTTTTCAACAGTTGGATCGTTTTGCTTAAAGCTTATGGCTTTGAGAAACCATTTAGGTGCAAATCTGTGTGTAAATTGTTTAAGTTTCCCGTTTATAGCAAAAGCTTTGGAACATTTTTGTCTAAATTCATTATTGGGTTCATTCATGCAGTTGCAGTCGATACCAAAGGCAACTGAACCTAGAAAAATTTCGAAAAATTAAAATACATATAGTCGAAATTTGAAAAGCGGAAAAAAAGACAAAGAGTACTAACGTAAAAATGTAGATAAAAAGATAATGTGAAGTCAAAATAATGAATTACCAATAATATCGGTAGTAAATCTGGCAAGAGTTTCTTTAATAAAAATAGGTTCTCCAAAACTAACTTCCTTTTCCAGCAGTTTTTCCAGTGCTTTTGAATAAACTGCCAATGTGTCAAACATCATTTTAATTTTTCCTAAAATAAAAAATTTATTTATTTTAATTAACACATTCATTAACAAATAATTAAACATTTATTACTTATAAAAAATATTAAAAATTCATTACGATTAAATTGTGCTGCAATATTAAATAATTTTAAAATTTTAAATTGTTTTATTCATAAACATAAAAAAAACTATGCGAAATGAATTATTTTCCTCAAAAAAGTATAAATGGTTCTGTATATACCATATGTGACAAGTAAATTACTTATTTATGATAAAATGAGATTTCTGAAATTAGTCAAGCATAGTTAGTGAACAGTTTAATTAGTATTTAGAAGACTCTTGGTGAACTATTTACTTTCGGTTATTGATTTTAGTTTCAGTGGATATTGTAACAATTATTTGTTTTAAAAAGGGTTTATTTATTAAAAACAGTTTACTTATAATTTGCTTGTAACGTACTAATTAATTTATTTAATATTTAGGCACTATTAGAACTCACAATTCTAATTTATTTATTACAATTTACCTCTACAATACTTATATTATAACTTAACGTAAACAGACAAAGTCGCACTATATTATACAACGTTAGTGCTGGTGTAAAACAGTGTAATAAATCGTCACGCCAACTTGTGATGCTTTCCTATAGAAACAATTAAGACAGCCCAATGGGAACTTCTTAGATAAGTAATTAGTTTATAAGATTTTTAGATTAAAATTGTAGGTTAGTCAGTAATGACTGGTAACAATACACTAAAAAAAAATATTATAGAAGCTTAGTCTAGAAATTTTGGAAATTATCCTCCACGCGTTATACTGCGAATTAAAACATTCCAGTCGATTTCTCGAGTCTCGATATAGACATCTTCTCGCGGATACGAACATCAAAGAACGGAGTCAGCTTTAGGCGAACTCACGACATTGCCCCCTCCTTAAGAGATAGTTCCTCCTGGAACTAAAACTGAATAGTTGTATCTGCGACTAAACCCTCTTTTTAAATTTCTATTTGCATGGAAATAACAAGGGACGGATTTTGCTGAAACATGAACACTTGGCAATTGGCTGCAGACCAGTATTTGAATCTCGGTATCTTGGAACACTATTTCTACCAAACATGACTTTTTCTGGTGATTGGCCTGTTAATTCATTAACAGCGGGTCTATATGCTATTGCAAAGAGCGAAAATACTGATCCCAATCTCAATGACTTTTGACAGGTATTTGCCAATTGCCTTTTCTATTCGCATTACCATTCCATTTGACTGTGGGTGAAATGCGGTAGTACTGTTTTTTTTTTTCATGCCCAATCTGTCAGATTACTCGGAAAAGCTGGCTTTTAAAAATTTCTGCCTTGAACACTGTGGAGCTCTAGGGGCACTCCAAATCTACTAAAAAAATCTTTTGTTACCACATCTGCAACAGTTGCGGCCTCTTGATTTGGAATGGCGTAGACTTCCACCTACTTCGTTAAATAATCCGTAAACAACATTATGTATTTATTACGATTCTCGGTCATGGGAAATGGTCCAGCAATATCTAATTCCTTACACCATTCTTTTATATCATCGGAACTGTTCGTCCAATAAAACCTTTTACAAACTCTGTGAATGGTTTTCTTAATATGAATATGTCCTTCTGATGAACTGTCGTGTAACTGACTTCGGCTGCTCTAGTCTTTGGAATGAACACCTGTCTTTTGTTTTCGGAACCATCATCATTTTCTAATACACGCTTTAATAAACTTTCTTCAAGGATAAAAAGTCCCACTGAGCTAAATATGACATACCTACTGGAAAGAGATTTGATACTTCTTTCCATGTAGATCGATGATTTTCCTCTTTCCATTGTCGTATCTTGTTTCCTAAGTTTTGCAGGGGCCCTCTCATCATTAACTACAGTTGTTCTTAATATTACTTTTATATGGATTATGCCCTATTCCAATTTGAGCTGCTGAGCAAGGTCTTCTAGAAAGAGATTTGGCATTTCAGTAGCTTATTCCGGCTCTAGGTTTGATCTAAAAGTCGTATTCTTAAAGTCGTTGAATCCGTCTGGCGATTTGATCTTGCCGTATTTCACAACTGTCAAGAGTGCTCTTCTCGTAACGCAGTAATTTTGCTCAGGTTTTGAAAACACTTTACTAAAATATCCCAGTATTCTTTCTTTTGTCCCTTAAATATGTGAAAGCACTCCTCCAGTTTTCACATTACTGACATCAGTATCCAGAATTAATTCTCCCTGTGGTAGCTGGTAGCCTAGTATTGGCGCTGTTGTTAAATGTTTCATTATTGTTTCAAAGGCAGTTTGGCAGTATTTGTAATAGCAGAATTCTCTAGCTTTTTCTATGAGTCGCGTTAATGGCTTTGCAGTATCTGAGAGCCTCCTTATACATCTTCGGTAGTATGTACAAAGTCCAAGAAAACTTCTTATTTGATCTTTATCAGTTGGTAATGGCCATTGTTTGATGGAAGCCACTTTTTTTTTATTCGCAGCAACACCATCCTTGCCCAGGTAATTATCTTTATTTTAAAATAACTGGCATTTCTTGGGGTTTAGCATCAATTGGGCAGGTTGTCCTTTAAAAACATTTCTAAGTTATTTAGATATTCATTAAATATCTTTCACAAGACTATGTTGTCTAAATACACCAGATATGTTCCCCAGTATAACACTCTCAATACAATACAATAACAATGTGAGTGAACTTTTCTGTACCAATTTCTAATTGAACCTGGATTTCCCTATGGATGTCTCGTGGCAGTCTGCATTCGCAATCTTGTTGGTAGAAGTTTGTTACGGTTATTTAGAGTTGTTGATCATATAGTGGTTCTAGTTGCTGCAGAATTCACCAACAGTGTATATTTTTTATTATTTACTTCATTGTCTACGTATAAACTATTATCGCGACATTTCAAAGGGGCTAACAGTATTAGAAGGTCTTTGGAATAGTTTCGGGTCAAAGCTGTCCATCAAGGCCGACCCGGTTTCATTTTCCTGTGGCGTTTTATTTTTACTTTTTGTGACCTTAGGGCGTTTGCACGAACTGCGTACATGTCCCAGTTCACCGCAATTTCAGTACCTGATGGTCTTTGTCGTCATCTTATTATTATTAAGGCTCTTCATCATGTTAATCAGTTGGTCGAGTTTTTCTTCCGCGTTTTCTTCTTTTACAGTCCTCACTTTACTGTATCCTTCAGAAGCTTGCGTAGCTATCTCATACTCTAGAGCAGCGGACAAGGTATTTACCAATCTTTTGTGATGGGCTAAGCGAAGAATTTTCTGCATCTCGTGGTCATGTAATAATTGACATTATTATTTGAAAATATAATTAACCAAAAATAAAAAAAATATTTGTTGATATTTTAAATTCATATTTAAAAGAAAACACACGTATTTCAATAAAATCAACATTTAGGTTAATAATCTAGTCAATGGCTTACATTAAACTAGAGAATTCAAGGCCGAAAATTGTCATTCTAACAAGTACAACTGTCACGTAAATTTTGGATTTAAATAGAGAGAATAGACAGAAAGAGACTCGAGTGAGGATTGAGGTCCAAAACTATTGCCGATAGGTGAGTCTGTTTCGGGATCCTAAATCCCGAAACACCGTAATGTGTAAAGTAAAGTTTTGTGCAGCGATTTGTGAACTATAGGTAAATATCTTTAACTTAGTTTTAAAGTGTTTTGTTTAAGATAATTAATTAATTAATTTACATATAACTATGTTATTATGGGATAATTCCAGGACCCTTTGGCTGATGACAGTGCTGCCTTAATCCCTTAATAGTATATTAACAACAGTAGTAAAATACCTATCAGTAGTTACAAATGGTCTTTAGGCTAGTTAGTTTTTATATTTGGTGACAAGCGGTGGTTCTTTGAAATAGTTCGTTGTTCCAGTCACAAAGTCTATCAACAGATGTTTGAACTGCCGAACATTACATCATGTTTTCTGGAGCTGATGGGTAAGCAAACCGTACTAACCTGACAATATCTACTTCGTATTCTTAAAGAGTCTCATCTTGTTTCTGTTTGCGATTCTTTAGCTGTGATTGATACAAATGTTGCAAGTATTTGTGGCCCTATCGCATGTTGAGTATCTTTTTGAGTGGTTCAAAATCATCTGTCTCTTCCACGGGTACACTCTGAAGGACATCTAAAGCGTTTCTTCTAAGGGCGATGGTCAAATATACTGCCTTTTCTCTTTCAGACAATTCGTTTGCTCTTGCAGCTGTTTCAAAATGTTTAAGGTTGTTTTACCAAATTTCCAACAAAAAACTTAGTAAAAGAGATTTAGAATATTATACTGAGCATTTATCAGACATTAGCTCTACATCAGAATTATATTTCAACTCCGAAGACAGCATCAAAGATCCTAACTATCCTGGTGGAATTGGAAATAGTAATGAAAGCAGCAGCTTAGCAGACGACCTCGATAATTTGATTGATCTTGACGACACGCAGTAGCAAGTAAAATGAAATTCACGATTTTGGAGACGATCAAGAAGATGGGTTAGAGTGGTCTAATTGTGTATTCGATTTTAGGAAATTTGAGTTTACTGGAACCTGTGGGTTATTGGTAGCTAATACAAATGATATTACTCCCTTGGAGATATTGAAGTTGTTTTTGACTGACGAAATGATAAACATCATGATGGAACAAACCAATATATACGTACGTCAGATAAGTGAGAGAAAAAGGCATGTTCGACCGGCAAGATTATCTAGATGGCATGACACAGATGCAGCTGAAATGGAAATATTTCTTGGTAAGTTTAATTTTTATTTAATTTTTTTTAACATTTAATCTTTAATAAAAACTTTTATGCTTTTTGTGCATGTTTCTTTTCCCAGTAGTAAATCTAAACAGTAAAATGAAATTGACATAACATAGCTGTTTATTATAAAAAGTTTATAATTTTACCTAAACTCTCTTCTATTTTAAAAATTATACACTTTTTATTTTTATTTAAAATCGGACAGAGGCATGATATGGGTTGATTAAGACTCCAAGACTTCCAAGAGAGGGATAAGAACACTTTTAAAACCTTAATACATTGCTGAAACTGTCATTTTTGTTCCCCCAATTTAAAAACAAGGAAAGAAACAATTTTAACGCTACAGAAGCAAACTTATGGTTTCCTATCTCTCTTTTGCCAACATGACATTAATCAGCCCATCACATATCTGTTATCTCGGTCAAGCAAGACTTACCCTAAGTTTTGTTATTTTTAGGTGTCGCTATGCTTTCCAACAATCGAGTGTTACTGAAAAACTGACCCAATATATTACCACGAAATATTTCATAAAATCCCAATTAGATATAATCGATTTGCATTGCTGTTAAAATTCTGGCATTTGAAAAACAACACTAAACCATCTACCAGCAGACTTGGTAAAATAAAACCAATATTGGAGCCTATTAGAAAAAATATAAAAGCTATTTTTTCTTTCAATGACACGGTGGTTGTAGATGAGACAATGGTGTCTTTCTGTGAGCGTCTGAAATTCCGCCAATAAAATATTTCGAAAGCTCACCGATATGGCATACAATTGTACAAAGTGTGCACCCCAAACGGATATGCTTAGGACATTAAAATTTACGATGAGAAAGGAGCCAGAATTGATGACCTTGATTTGCCAGGAAGCATAGTGAATACAGTGATAGAGCTAGTTGCACCTCTGCTAAATAAAGGACGATTGATAATCACAGACAACTATTACACCAGTGTAAAATTAGCAGAATACTTGTATGACAGAAAGACACATCTACTTGGGACACTCCGAAAAAACAGATCTGGCTTACCATATGAAGTTATTAGCAAACATTTGGCAAAAGTCCAAATAGTTTCACGGAAAAAAAGAATATTACTGTTATAAACTGGCGAGATCAAAGGGACGTGCTCATTTAGTCTATCTATCATGATGATAAAATGGTAAACTGTGGGAAAAAAAAGAAACGGTACAGATAAAGTAAAACCATCGTCAGTCGTTGACTATAATAAAGGAAAACAAGGTGTTGACATTTCAGATCAGCTTTCAAGTTATTACACTTCTCTTAGAAAGTCTCTCACTTGGTATACGAAACTGGCCATAGAAATCATTTGCGGAACATTGTTTGTAAATACTCTTCTCATTTACAATAATCAGCGAGCACCAAACAATCATTTTTTTTTATTGCAATTGAGGCAATTAAGGCACAGGTATTTTAAAACCATCCATACAAAATAGTAGTAACGGCAGTAATAATGGTCGCGCTAACGATAATCGCAAGAAAGATAACACTTATAAACTGGAAGAATTGCCACGAGGAAATGACCAAAAAATATACTGGAAGCGATGCCATGGGTTCTGCGAAGAATTACGTCAAGAATTATCAGCGACTGAAGCTGATAAAAAGACTAAGAAGGTCAATACTAAAATTTACGATATTTTTTGTATGCTATGTAGTTCTCTGATACTGAAAATGTAAAAATCTAAGGGTTCAAACAATCGTTATTTTTTATCCCATCCAAATGACTTTTTTTTTGGAAGGTACAAAATTTTTTGCTCTAACGTCCTAATATTAAAACTATATTTGTCTTTCTACGTCTCAGTCACCATTAGTTCATAACTAATACATTGCTTTTTGGCCCATATGTGGTTCAATGGACTGTGAACGTGTTAAAAATAAGTTTAAATTATAACATTTTTCTGTTACTCATTTGTTTACCTGAGGTAAATGTTGGAGTTAGTTTGGCTCTATGAGTTCTCCAGGTGTCACCCTCCAAAAGGAACAAACCTCCTGTCAAAGGATCGACTTTTGGGTTTGAATACAATCCATGGTCTACGAAATGTTGAAAATCTTTAAGTAGGACATTTTTTATCATCTCTTGATCGACAGGTACCCAAACCGCTGTCATACCCTCGTATAGACCTCCATATTTCAAACCTCGTTTCTTAACATCCAAATAGAATTTTTGATAAAATTCGAGCCTATTCAGTTCTCCTACGGAAAAGTAAAAACATAAGAATCACATTTTTATAAATATTATTAAAAAGTTATTGCCTGAAAAATTATCATTACTCTAACAGATGTAGAGATGTTAATATTTTAACAAGAAAATGGATGAAGTTTCATTTGTTGTTCTTTATTAAAAAATATGAACGGAACTTATTATACAGGCATACTGATACAAATGTTATTTTATTCCAAACAAATAGTTTAAGGTGAAAAGTCATTAGTTTTAAACGAATTGTCTTCTAAAACGTAAAAAACACCGGGTGGAAATTTAATTTTTTTGAAACAAATATTTAACTAAGTAATCCTGTTTGTTATTAATTTTATCGATCTTTTTTTGATGAATTTTATCTAATGTAATTAACCAAGGGTAGCAATTCTACATCCAATATTTATGTTTAATGTGTGCTATATTTTATGATTTAAATATAAATTGTAATTCTTTAATAATGAAATTTACCTATTATTCGCTATATAATATTGTGCAACAAAAACAAAACGTAACCAATTTCATATAAAGCCAGAATTTAAACAGCCAAAACCAACCCGTGGCTCTCATATCGTCGCTCAGATGTCAAAACCTCGTATCTCAATTTTTGATGGTTTTGTGTTTTTTGTGTTGCCTAGATTAGGAATTCGAGCCGCGTCGATCACAAATCCTCTGCAGGCAGATTCCCATTGACAATTCGATATCGAAATACTCTATTTCGACAGTTTGGTGAATTTCGATTTGCGGGAAATCATATTTGCATCGACTAAAACGATTGCGAGTCACTCCCCAGCTCTATGGTGCCAATTTGCTCGATTTCGGTACATTATTGAGGTTATAGCACGTGGTTATAGAGGTTGTAGCCTTGTAGCGGTTGTGATTTCTAGTTGAAATTTGAACAGTTTAAAGTATTGTTACTGTTGATTATTCTGTGTCATTGATGTAAGAAGTTCTTGAGAATTTTGAGAATATAAGTAAAAGGTCTGCCTTAAAAAATAATAATATAAGTACCTAATTAACTGTTAAATTGAAACAAAACAGCACAAAACTATTATAGGTAATTATAGTGGGTTTATGCACGAATTTAAATTAACGTAATTTAAGAATTAAGCCCTGCTATCGGCTGCGATCACCTGATCAGGAATACAGACTTTTATTCGCTGCTCTTGCGTTAAATTAAATTGTGTGCATAACCATTCCTTAAGAAAGACAATGTCAGTTTGGATGGCATTGTTGACAATTAAAACACGTATTGCGCATGCTTGCTACGAATACTACGAGTTTCGAAATCGACCAAAACGCAGGGCAATTCGATAGTGAATAGGAATAGCAAATTTCTCGATATCGTATTTGGTTGCGAGTATCGAAAGCCATTCGATTTCGCATTTCGCACTGATTTGGAATCTCACTGCTGATCTCAATGCGTGTGAAATTGCAGCTACGCCACTTGAATTCAGAAACCTCGTATCTCACATGCTTTAAATAAAACCTCGTAAGTCAATACGTGTCTGCAAAATTTATGAATATTGAACTTTTTGTGCAAGTTGTGTTTATTAGTGTAAGTAAAAACATTCATTCACTGGTCTACAGTGGTTTTGTTGTCCTAGATATGAAAATGATTTTGGGTCTATTTATGCACACAATTCATGAAACTATCAATGATTTTGTAAGATTTGCTCTCATTTTTTTTTAAATCTTTATTTTCATTTTATATTACAAAAATAGAAAAACAAAATACAAATTAACAGATATATTTATAATGTTAGTTCTGTTGTGAGAAATTAGGATACATCGAAGTAAATAAAGAGGAAAATATCGGAAATATGTTTTATATTTCCATAAAACGCCTTTTATGAGCTTTTCTCTTATAATTTTTCAGTGGACAATCTCTTTTCAAAGACCAGCAGTAATCTGCCATCATGTGACAATCCCATCGACCCTGATACCTTTCCTCCATCACTTTTAGATCTTGGTGAAACCGCTCTCCCTGTTCCTCACTATAATTCCCTAAATTATCTGAAAATTTATCCAGATGATTGCGAAGATAGTGTAACTTAACACTCATATTTGCTCCTAAAGTCTGAAAGTTTGTCAGCATATCTTGCACAATTTCTTCATAATTTGTTGCTTTATGGTTACCTAAGAAATTTTTGACTACCAACACGTAACTTTTCCAAGCTTTACTTTCCGGAACAGTCATAACTTTGATAAAATCTGAGTCTTTTATTAATTGCCGTATTTGAGGACCATCAAATATTCCACCTTTCAATTTTTCCATACTAAGATTCGGAAATTTTCTGCAAATATAATTAAAATAATCTCCATCCTTGTTTAGAGCTTTTACAAACTGCTTTATCATACCTAACTTAATATGCAATGGTGGAAGTATGATTTTGTCTCTGATCACCAGTGGCTCCCTTATTACATTGGCTTTACCGACAGTTAAAGAATTTCTTACAGGCCAAACATCTTGTTCCCAGTGAAGTTGCTTCGCTCTACTGTCCCACATACAAATAAAGCAAGGGTATTTTGTGTATCCACTTTGTTGGCCTAGTAAAAAATTAACCATTTTTAAATCCACACAGATCGGCCATTCATGCTCCGAATATTTAATTTACTCTAAAACTAATTTTACATTTTCATATTCTTCTTTAAGTTTCGTTGAATGGGCAATTGGAATTGATGCAAACTTATTTCCATTGTGCAATAAGACACATTTTAAACTTCTTTTGCAACTGTCAATGAAAAGGCGCCATTCAGTCGATTTGTATTCCTTTAAACCCATGTCTAAAAGCAGATTCGCGATATCACTACAATACACCAATCCCTGATCGTCACTAAAAAACTGTAATAACTTTTTTTCTCGCGTTCTGTATGTTGTAATTGTTACGGTTGGTGCTAATAGATTTTTTTCTTTCAATCTTGAAGCTAACAGTTCTGATCCTTGTTTTGATAAATTGAGATCACGTATTAAATCATTAAGTTCATTTTGAGAAAATAACTTTGGCGTAGATGTTTCACCCTCCCATTCACTTCCACTGCTAGACGGTCCCGATTTCTGTGAATTTGGCAACATCATTGTTTCTGAGGGCATGCGAACTACTTTTGAAACGTAAATAGGCCGAGGGAGATTTTCACTGTGTGGAACCGGACATTTCGTAGACTGTAAGTCTGGGTATTTCCACTTTTGATTTCGATTGAAACCTTTAACATCTACTACACAAAAGTAACAATCATCAAAATGATTCGTAGGCTCCATCCAGATCATAGGAATACCAGAGTCTAATCCAGAACGTTCTCCTTTTTTCCACAACCGTAAAGACTCAACACAGCATTTACAAACTTTATTAGGAACCCATGGTTTACCTAATTTGTCCATTCCAAAACCGAAATATTCAACATAACTCTCCTTGACAAAGTCTGTAATATTTCGTTTTTATTTTTTTGATATATAAACACCGCAAATATAATAAAATAAATCACTACAATATTTACACTTTCTCCGTGACGAACTCATATTTTAGAAGACAAGACGAATATATCAGAATGGACATACAGTAATTGAAACAAAATATTAATCCATGACAACTTAACCAGATTCACGTGTAAGTACTTCAATATTGTCATATAACTGAGATTTCAGCTGTTCTGTGGAGCAAGGCGTCTGAGAGGTGGGATCACGTGATGTTTGTATGCGCTAAAAAGTTGCGCAGAAGCCTTAATCATGACTGAAGAACTTAATTTTATTTCTAAGAAGCCGATAATTGTTTAACACATAAGACATGCAAAAATCATAAAAATACGAGCACATTGAGAACTTTCATGAATATATTCGAAATCTGGACACTTGAAAACATAAAAATTCGCGATGATATCCAGGGCAACAAAAAAATTTTTTTTTTTGTAGAGCTGTGTTATTATTATTACTTTGTTTTAATAATACGCAGTTGTATTGTTTTACGTTAAACAAAAACATAACTAATATTCCAAAAAATTTGAGGTTATGATGATCCAATTAATCTATTTCAGTTAATCAAATAAAACAAATTATATAAATCAATTAAAGAAAAACAGAAACTTGACAGTTAGTACAAGAATTTTCAAAATAATGTTTTTCAGTAATTTTTTTAGCGAAAAAAATTGTGATACGAGGTTTTGTTATCTACCTAAATTTAATCAACTACTCACAATAGTGAGTTACGAGGTTTCTTTGTAAAATTATAGTTTTATTTTTTAGCAAGCCGGGCAATAATTGTCAAATCAGCACTAGAAAATCTAAAAGCGAATCCTGATATTGAGCTAATGAGCGAAATGATAGTATCATGCATCCAGATTCACATTTTAAAGAGGGAGTCGAAGAGTTCGAGAGCCATGATAGTGAAGAAGATTGGAAAAATGCTTGTGCGTCTGAAAGTGTAGAGGTAATTGAAATTCAACAACATACCAGCTCCAATGAAGAGAACCATACAGATTTCAATAAAAAAATAAAATTAGATAATACAAGCTTTCAACAAGTTCGTGTGATTTCTCAAGAAGAAAACTCCATTTTCCAGCAAATTACTGCTTCATCAGGCTATTCACTAAATATTTAAGTACATTCAAGTATTATTGTAAACCCAAAAAGTACTAATATTCACAAAGGGTCTCATTTAAAAAATGACACCCAAAATAGATACCTGGCTAGTATGAATATAGAAGACAATGAGATTAATGTCGATATGAAGGAAAGTACTAAGTTGGAGAACGTCAGATGGGATCTAACTTTGAAATTCGAAGGTCTCAGTGAAACTAAAGAGGAAAATCGACAATATAACATTTACATTGAATTTAAAGAACCTTTTGAAGGATCAGAGTCAAGTTATCACTAGTAATACCACTAGAGATCAAATTATTTCCGGAAATTTTTTCGAGCTCATGAATATTTTGAAAATTTCCCGAGTCGCAGACGAGGGAAATTTTCTAAAAATATTCATGAGCGAGAAAAAATTTCCTGATATTA